GGGATCTGGTCCAGAAACTCACCGGCTTGGCTGAGCTCCGATCTCCGCGGCTGCAGAAAATGGCGCCGCCGCCGCTTGATATTGCGCGGCGGCAAGAGTCGGGCGGCGCGGCGGAGGCCACGGCGGTGAAGGTGGATGAGGTGGACGGAGGAAGCTTCCTTGAGCTGAATTTGTCACCCTTCAACAAATGGTGCTCTTTCCCTGCTTTGAGCCCGGAAACTCTTGCCATTTTGGATGCAATTTAGTTTTATGATTTGATTAGATTTTGGAATGAAGTTTGTTTGTTTATGTGTTGTTGTTTATAGCTCATAATATAATATATGGAGAAATTAAGGAAGAAAAAGACTGGTAATCAAGTAACAAATAGGTTGGTTTTAATTCGTGAGAGAATTTTTCTCACACACTATCCTAATAAAATGTAGTTAAAAGTACAACCCATATCTCTCTTTATAAATTTGTGGTAAGAATATATAATGTAGGTTTGATTGATGATCCCAAAATATAAATATGAAAATAAAGTATTTAAGTTGTATTTTTTTCAGAGTCTTTGAGATATGTTCGGTAGTAGATTTGAAAATTGAATCTTAATTTAAAAAGTTGTTCATAATGTTTAATATATACTAATAGTTACCGATTAAACAAACATATGTTAAATCTAAAATATTATTTATATGTTATAAAGTTTGTAAAATAATTATTTTACAATATTATATAACATATAATATTATTACATTTTGTGTATTTTAATTTAAAAAAAATGAGTTTATAATATGAAATGGTATATTTATTAAAATTTCGATCTTTGAATTTTAAAATTTTAAATTTAAAATTTGAAAAGACTGAAAAAGATAGAAATGTTGCCTCTATAATTTCAATTATTTGGACCATACCATAAAAAAACCATCCAAAACCCTAAAAGATTAAACATTTTGGTAATGTTATTATTATTCTTTTTTTTTTTAATTTAGCTTTCAATCTTAAATATAAGTATTTATTTCAATTGATAATTATTTTACCTACCTTGAGAAGCTACACAATATTTTACACTTAAATTAAGCTCCACTTAATATCAAATTAAGTTTTAACTTAAGTTTCTAATGGTATATAATCGAGTACTATATCAGTACAAAATTATTTTTATAGATACCAATAAAGTCATGTCAAATAGCATGCTGACATGTCATTTCAGGCATTTCTCATTAAGATATCATCAATTAGTTAAAAGTGATCCAAAACTAACAGAAGAAAAATATAGTACAGTGCCAATCCCGACATAGTTTAGAGGATGAAGGTTAAAGCTTATCCTAAACCGTAGGTAAGTAATAAGAGCTAAAACAGGGATGTCCTGTTCACAAAACACAAGGATTCACAACAGAAAACGAAAAATACAAATCTTATCAAACCGAAACCGACTCCAAAAATGACATTTGTGATTGGCGCTACAAGTCAATATGGGTTGGAAAGAGAGGCCCTCCAAATTTCAAGAGCCAACCGTGGCCCATAAACAGGCCCAGGCTCTGGTTGCGAAAAACGACGTCGTGGATAATGCCGGTGTTTCTTTTACTAATTAAATTAAATGATGGATAATGACTAAAATGGCTTGCTCTCGACGAAAGAAGAAACTGAACATCGAGAAGTGATCTCCGATTGAGGAAACTCTCTCAGTTCCTACTCTTCTTCGTCTTCGTCTTCACTCCTCCGCCTTTAGCTTCTGCATTGGGATACGCGATGTCTTGGTTGGCCAGATCCATTGCTAATTCATTGAAGCTCGATGATGATGAAGACGACGAGAATGCCAGTGGCAACTCCAAATCGCCGCTCAAATCCGATTCCTTATCCGATCAATATCACCACACGGATTCCTCCTCGCAATCGTCGCAGTCATCGTCGTCATCTTCGACTCCAACTGCCAGAGGCGTCAAAGAGGATTTGTCCGAGCTCAAAAATACCCTAACCCGCCAATTCTGGGGCGTCGCCTCTTTCCTCGCCCCTCAGCCTGAACATTCTGCTTCACATTCCCAAGTCTCTGATCCAAAACCTAATGAACCGCTTGATAATTCCACAACCGACAATCCGTCTGGCCCTGAATTTTCTGAAGAAGATCTAATGGCGGGAATACGCAGTGATTTCGCTGAAATCAGTGGGAAATTTAAGACTGGGATCTCGAAGCTTTCGAGCAACAGGACCATGTCGGAGATCACCAAGATTGCTTCCAATTTCCTTCAGTTTGGATCAGAGGATTCTTTGGAGAACTATGACGTGGGAAGTGCGGTTGGTGTAACAGAGGAGGTCCTGATATTCGTCAGGAATATCGTCCTGCATCCTGGGACCTGGTTGGACTTTCCTCTTCCATATGACGACTACGACGGTAGCTTTCATATTCTGTCTTATAGTTTCTCCAATGCACAAATTGAATGTTCTTCTTTAATTTCGAGTGGAGTATCACGGATGTGCTTCTGACCGAATATCCTGAGCTTCTCTTATTATCTTTACAGCAATTATACTTCTCGTTAATCTTATTAGTTACCTCACTCTTTCATGTATAGATATATGTATCAGCAGACAGACATCAATTTAAGACTAATTAATTTTCCTGTTCGATTACGCGTAAATAGATCTTGAGTTATCCGATGCCCAGCAAGAACATGCTTTGGCTGTTGAGCATCTTGTGCCTAGTTTGGCTGCTTTGAGGATTGAACTTTGTCCCCAATACATGAGTGAAGATTGCTTTTGGAAAATCTACTTTGTGATCTTGCATCCTAGACTTAGCAAGCATGATGCTGAACTTCTGTCAACACCCCAAGTAAGTTGGTCTCGTTGTTTTGTGAATGCTATTATTTTTGGTTTCTTTGGGCCTTGTACCATTCCTGTGTAAGCCAAGAGGTCCACATAAATCTTGGATGTTTATTGTATAGAAAAACAAATTTTGTAGTCTTAGTATAAGAAACGTATAAAGTTATAAATGTGTGTATGAAAAAGCTAGCTTGCATTGAGAAAAGTGAAAACTACAAGATGGAGAAACAAAAAAGGGAAGCCTAAGACAAGGAGCCAAAATACAACAACTAACTAACTTTTAAACATTACAGAAAAGACTTTCAGTTAACAAGAATGAGAGACAAAAGGAAAAACATTAAAATCCTTGGGGATGTTGGATCTAACCACGCCCAAGCTTCCTTCCAAGAAATGTGTAAATTTGATATTGTTCTATGACTTACCATTCATGGATATTGATAAGAATCATTTAGCAATACCTTAGAATGGCTAACTTATCTAAATAATATGATTCAGCCCAAAACAAGCTGATATCTAATATAAGGGCTTTAGGAATTAGGAGACTTAAAACACATTTAACTCAAAAAAATGAAGTAACGTGTGTTGTTCTTTATCTTTTGACCATGTCGATGGGGGGCTTTAATTTTTGTTTATTATGATAGATGGGGATGATATTGGAAAATTTGAGTTTTAGAGTATATACTTGTTATCTCTGTAATGCAATGACAGTGGAGGATATGTATTCTTATGCACGGAGATCACCGAGAGAATTGTAAAAAGGCAGTTGCATTTTGTGAGTGCATAATAACCCTAAACTAGTCATCTATATGAGACGAAATGCAAACCGTAATCTCTCACGCTACTTGGCCTACTACCTTTCTTTGTAAATTGAGTGGGTGTGAGATGGACCTAAAAATTCAGATAGGGTCCTTGGTGGGGGACTTCGAGGATGCATGAATACTATAATTTGGGTAGAGTGTCCTTTTCAACTATGTGTTAGACAGGACATGCTCTAGTTACTTGATTTACAGGGTCCTATTTTCTTCTTATTTTTTAAACATTGTGAAGATGTTAGGGACATGAATAGGATATGTCATGTCACATTTAATAGAGAAAGAAATGTAATTCTTCAAGTTTCATGAAGTCTAAGAGCATTTACATCAAATAACTAAGAAAGAAATAAAAACTGAACTCAAAGTGTTACAGTAAACAAACAGATAAATTTCAGCCGATAAAAATCAATAAAGCAGTGATGGGAAGTTGTTGCAACTGATGTCTGAACACATATTTGTGTGTCTTTATAGGATCCTTTCTTTAATATATTTTTTCTTTATATGAAATAGTTTCTAGTCATATAAAACTAATATGTAATATGTAGGATATTTGTATTTATTTCTTTGTTGAAAAATATTATAGTTAACCACAATTTATGCAGTTGTAAGTCCCCCTCTTTTTATATTTATAAAAAAGTTTGTTTGCTTCGGTTGAGAGAACATGTTTCATTAAGTGCATGTCGGTCAGATATAAAGTTATGGGCCAACAATTTAACAGAGCATATTCCTCTTTCCTGTAATTGCATGACTGATTCCTCAAATAGTTAGGTGCATTCATTAATCATATCCTCAAGCTCAAAACTTATTCCTGATTGCCCATATATCCTTAAAACCTGGCAACTATTCCTATTGGACATCGAGAATCTGACGGAGAGTAAGGGAGAAGAAACCAGCCACCACCTTTAAAACAGTATGTGAGACTGCATCCCGCAACTCAAGGATACCCTCCCCTTGGCTCCAATGAAAGCCAGAGAGGACTAACCAGTATGATGCAGACTTCAAATGGATTTAATCAATGCTTTATCAACCGTTAGAAGGTTAGTTTCCTGAAGAAAGCAAAATATGGTTTAACTTTCAAAATATATTCCTGAACTACTTTGCTCGTCTTCTTGACTTCCAGATTCCTAAGATTCCAACTCATGATCTTCGTTGATGCAAATGGCCAATCTACTGGGCTTCTCATAGTTAATAGAGCAAAGTTAAGTTGTCAGATCCCAGCTTTCAGAGCTCCCTTCCATTGTCCAATCCTTTTTGTCATCCTATTAGGATGACATCAAGTATAATTTCATCTCCCTTAGCCAGAGGGTCCACTAGATATTCTTGTCCTCCTTTGGCATTTCCACGTGAATAATAGCAGAATTGAAAACTGGAGCATCTTCAGCAAACATGCATGGGGCATATGGCCTGCGTCCCTGCTTCCTATCCTACAAGGGGACTGCATTATCTGAATTCTGATGGGGAGATGAAACCCTGATGACAACAGCCTAATCCTGAAACTTACATCTCCCTCAACTTGCCCTTGAGTTGAAAGCCCAAGGATGGTGGTCGGCTCTGCCCATCTCCAGCCACCTCATAACCTCTAATACTATAAAATTAGTCTTCAACTGAGAGTTAGACTCATTAGCTGTTGCCTCTTGGAGGAAACAAGTTTCTTTTATCTGTGGAGATTTTAAAGCTGCTTAAGAAATATTCTAAATTTTACATTACTGTTAAAAGATATGGCCCTTTATCAGAGTCAATATTAAGAGTTGGTGTAGTTGTTGCAAAAAGAGGAAGACATGGGCCCTGAATACTGGTTTTTTGGGCTATCTACTTTCTAGGTTTTGGTTAGGTCAAGGTGAGCCCATTATAACAGGTAGAAAATGTTCATTTTAGGTAAATTTTCTTCCTAAGATTCTTCAAGGTATCGATGATCAGTGTTGATGGTGAAGATACCTTCAATAGTTTGGTCTGTTGAATGGTCAGATTATTGTCATAGCAAAAATTGTGTTGTTTGGCCATCATTGGCCACTAGCCCAACATTGATATGTTCATATCATATGTGTTCGTCTTGTCATCAAGTAGATTGGCCTCTAAATTTGGCTGAAATTTTTTCAGTTGAAAGAAGAAGCAATGGTCTTGATGCTGAAATGTTTGGCTTATTCGTAGTCACATTTCTGCATTTGGAGAAGTAAAATTGTTGACTTGGAAAATTGGCCTTCTTTTCCTTGTGAGTGTTTTGTTATATAGGAAGCATATTGTCAAATGTTGTTTTGGTGATCAGATATGTATTTTGCTCCAAATATGCATTAGAGGTTGCTAGAATTTTCTACGTTGCGGTTTTCTAGTGATCTGCAAAACTAATTGAAATTTGTATGACCATATTTATAGATACTAGAAGCCAGAGCACAGTTTCATGAATTACAACAACAAACCAAGGTACAGACGGAGCCCGAGATATCTAGAAACATCTTGACTAGTTCGAAAGGATCTTCTGATTCATCAAATGAGGAGCATCTCTCGGTGCCACCTAGAGATCAATCTGAACCACTGTTTCTTCAGAAATCTCCTGATAGTGCAGCCCCTTCCTCAATGGTGACTGATGTTGAGACTGATAAGCATCCAATTAAGAACGTGAAAATTCAAGTTGTAGACAAGCCTGTCATTGAGGAAATACCCTTGCAAACCGGAATTGAACATTCCCACTCTGGTCCTTCCAAAGATTTTGATGACATATACGTGGATGATGGAGATGATTGGTTGAAGGAGGAGACTCTTGAGATTGATGGTGACAGTGGAACTAACATCCCTATTGGGAACGACGAGGACGTATCATTTAGTGATCTTGAGGATGACGACCAGGAGGTCCCGGCATATCATAAGAAGGTTGCATCAGGCTCTGACTCTTCAACTAAAGATTCCCGAGATTGGGTTCAGCTTAGCCGGACTTCTGCTGATTCAGACAAGGATACAAACTCCATAGATATTAAGCATGTCGGATCCGGGGAGGTAGGCACCCGCAAGGAATCAAGTGACTGGCTTAATGTCGAGGACATTGATTCAATGTGACGGCTCCTGAAACTCTTCAATCTGCTTATCTTCATAGAATTTTATTTCTTTCCTATGTATATCTTGTGTTTTCTCTATATGAAGCAAGCATTTGGGAAACTATGTTTGTTATGATATCTCTGTATATAGAAAAACTTGTAAACTCAAAATTCATTTACATGCAAATAATTGATGGCTTTGTTGTATTTTCTATGGTATTATCTTACGATTGCAATTCTCGTCTCGTGATCCTATGAATCAATTGGTATGAAGCTAATTTAAGACCATTATTGTGCTGTTAAGTTATTTTTCATAAAGTTTTTCATTGGTATCGATGATTCAAACCCTAGAAATTACACTTGAAGCGATATATCTTGTGCCAAATTTCATGGTATTTGGAGTTACCATGACCGCTTCAAGGCCAGTGCGTTATAATATACGTATCTACAATCTATTCCTAGCTAGGAATAGGGTGGCATGGATTGATATATAGAGGGGTGTTTATTAGTTATTACTGTCTTATTTCTGAAATATGAATACAAGTTTTGACCGCAAGTGTTAGAGACGCTGTTGTGAGGAGGCTTGGTTGAGAGAAGGGAATAAGGGATTGCAAATTTGGAACATTGAATCATTAATTAATTCCATTTTCCCTATATACCATTCAAATAAGAAAGCCTTGTTGTATTGGCTAGAGGAGATAGTTCACGACTAATCTTTATTGTCACTAGCGAATAACCTTACTATGCTTCTGTGCTATCTTATTTACAAGACATACGTCCAACATTAGGATGCCCTCCCTTATGATCATATAGAGCCAAAGTTACTGGAAAGGCGTCCCAGCTGAGACCACAGTAAGCTACCCAATGAAAATCTTGGCTTATCTTCAACTCTTGCATCTTTGATCCCCTGAATTGGTCTTGAAGCTGAGGAGGAGGAGGCTTGAGCAGCCAATTTCGAAGCCTCTTGAATTAAAGCAACTGATCCTCCAATCTCCTTGATCACCAACTCCACTCTCTGTGGATCCACACTGTGCCCCGACGCATCCGTGACGAAGAAGGACCCAACTGCTCTCTCGCCATTGGTTCCGACGTCAATTGTCGAGATCGACAGGCCGTTCTCACGGAATATCCTTGTGATGTCTGATAGCAGTCCCATTCGGTTCAGAGTGCAAAGTTGCAGCCTCAACCCCTTCAAAATAGTTGATCTTGTTAATGTTAAATAGATAGTGCTGATGGATTTTGAGTACAGGTAAGAAGCTAATCTTAACGTTTGGATTTGGATATGTATTTCCATAGTTAATATAAGAGGTTTTGTGGACATACATGTGAAACCCTTCTTTCTATGGCTGCAACCAAGGCCCACGAAAGCTTGTTCCTTTCACTGTCTGTATCTAACATGCAGCCACCTTTATGCCGAATAAAATACTCCTGCAATTTTCAACACAGGACAAAAGCTATGTCAGCCCCACCATACATAAAACTCGACAAATTTTCGGACCCAAAACAAAAGCCAACTTGGATTGGAAAATGCACATGAACTTCGAGAAACAGTACTAAAACTAACGTACTGAAATGTTTGTATTCTTGGCCATTATGAAACAAAACAAACTTGTGGTGTGGTACCTGATCAGCTACAATGCCCTTCGAACTTACTGCAGCATGAAACACCACGTACTGCAAGTCGGTAAGAGCGCAAACCGTGTCGAACAACAGCTTTGGGCGGTCCCGGCTTTTGATATTGATAACCGAATATCCTTTCTCCTTGCAACTCTCTATTCCTACATGCGTTCGAGTGCAACCCTTTTTACATATTTTGCCATCGTCGCGACAACAACACTGCTTGTAGTCGCCATTGGCATACATCAGCTGGTGGAGCCGCCGCTCGGTGTGGGTGCGTCCGGCCGATGGAGCCGTCAACCTCACGCTGCTCGTCTCGCCCAGTCCATTATGGGCGTCAACCACGTTCTCAAGTTGGTCCTGCACATGGGCCAGCCGTTTTGGGTCCTTTATGGGTCCACCCTTCCAACCTTCTTCGATGTAGACAATGGAGGCTGCCGCTTTATGATGCGTCCAAGCGACCGCGGCGGTGATGTTGCAGCCGAGATCGACCAACACGGCGAATATCTCCGACAAGAGACCTGGCCGATCGGTCCCAATGATCTCCACCGCGGTCTGCTCCGATGCCATGTGACGAGGCAACACTTCTCTTCCCATGCATGTTCTTGCTGTTTTTGATGACCCTTCTCTCCTACTCCTACTGACGCACAAGGCCTGTAATTACACATAGGATATTGAATATACTTTCATGTTTGGTTAAGCATTATAAGGTAAAAAAGGAAACCTGTTGAATGTAATGGATGAGACTTTCATCTGTGACTTTATTGCCGAGCTGATCAGTCACGTGGAAAACTGCACCATCACATACAAATAGAAGTATTACAAATCAGCTTCCATTAAGGTTTCTTCCTACTTTTAGGTTTCTTCCTTCCACTAAAAACAGTAGTATAAGAGAAATTTATGTGTCCAACTACTAAATGTGATCAAGTCAGATTCCACTCATCTAAAGCACTGATTTGGAAACAATCATCATGCTTGCTTAAACATAATTGAATTAAGAAATTTAGAGCTTAAAAAATGATAAGTGGGATTGGATTAAACTTTATGTGTGAATAGTGGATGGATGGGTACTGACCGTCCATGAGCCATCCACCGTCGGAAGAAATGTAAGATTTGGAAATAACGAGGTCGAGATCTGTCAAAACCTGCACCATCTCAAGTAGAATTCCATGTTTGTTCGCACTGTCAACCTGTCAAAAAATTGGATTAATTCTCATCAACAGATCTCCAAAGTCTTAATTTCCAATTAGACTACATTTTCAAGGCAATTTAAAACCCTACTCTCACAATGCCACATATATAATGTACACTTATCATAGAACAGCACAAAAGGCTGACAACTTTTGGTTCTTTTGCACGGGAATCATGTTACTTCGGAATAGGCACCCAGCTTGTAATACAGAAGAAACCAAAAAGGAAAAAAAGAAAAGAAAGAAAGTAAATTAGGACATTGCTTTTGTGGGAAAAACCGTGACTCATCTTTCCATCTCCTCTATTTTTTGGTGTCATCATCAATTGGGTGTTTCGTCGGTGAGAAGGACTCCTCCTCCTCCTCTTTTTTGTTTGTCTGTTCGTTCTTTCAAATGGGTTTTGGCAGTGGAAAACATACACGAATTCTTTCGAGGGTTTGAAGGTAGAGAGAGGCATATAATTATATATAATTAAGAAACAAATTTAAATTAAATACCTTCACGAGGGTGCAATCTTGAAAGGTATCGTTGTCTATGCAAACTCTGCAAAAATGGGGCATGAATTGGAATCAATCAAAGGCAAATTACCAAGGCATAGAAGCATGGTAAAGCAAAAAAATTACCTCGGCGGGTAAATTCTTTCGATGAGTAATTCCAACTGGGGATCCCGCACGTAAGGCAGCTGATACATAGTTTCCACGATCTTCAATTGCCTTCAATTCCCAAATCTCCGACGGCATAATAATAATAATAATAGTGTCATGGGGGGCGAGGTTTTGGAAGTGGCGACGGAGAAACCGAATCAAAAGACACACAAAAATAATAATAATAAGAAGAAGAAGAAGAAGAAGAAGAAGAAGAAGAAGAAGAAGAATTGTGGGTTGAGAGAGGGGTTGGGTTGCTATTTACTATGATTAGGATACACCGAACTTTGGCGGCAACAACAGACTTGACCCACCTGTCTTGTCTTGTCTTTTGTAATACACAACTGCGGAGGAATTAATTCAATATATATATATATTTATACATAAATGTGAACTCTGTTTTTGAGTTTCAGGAGTTCCTCTTCTTTTGTTTTCTTTTCCGGTTGATAAGCTAAAAAATCTTCCAAAACGTGAACAAGTTCATTGGCGGTTTGCCACGTTCGCTTCCTTCGGAGAAACGCGTGGCGGAACTGCCGGCTTTCGTCCAATTGGCGGCTGCGGCGCCTGCCCATGCCAATACGTCACCTCACCACATCAATTTTCTCCAAATAAATTGAATTGTATATAATAAAACAAACGTTGAGACGAAATTTTTGTATAAATAGAACAAATTATTAGAGAGCGGATAACTATTTTTCTCTCTTCGTGTTTGGGCTTATCCGTGGAATTGGCGTGTGAAGATTAAGCTGAGAGTGTGTAATTGGGAGTTTGAATATCTGTTTATGATCTTGAATTTTTCACGCTATCGTACGGCTGGAGAGTAATCCAAATGGGATGCTTTGGTGGCGTGGCGTCGTTTGTTTAATCGGATCGTATCGTATCTGCTTCGTACTTGGCGATTCATTCTACGCTTCGCCGCCTCTGGAAGAGTGGGGAAATGGGCTGGGCCTGATCTACACTACCATATCTGTTTAGTGGGTTGGGCCACAAAAATGTTCACTTCATCGATCCCGATCCCTATCTTTTAGGCTATCTTGTTTATTAAAATTGTAATTTAATATTTTATTCTTTGCTTGCATTTTATTTTTTGACAAACTTTGCTTGCATTTAATTAATACTGTATCAAATAGGTTGCAAAATTAGATTTCTATTCTTCACATTTATTTATCATTACAAATTTCTATCATTTTTCTAATGTGTTCTATTATTTAAATAGTTGATTGTGATTTTAGTTTGAGATTCTTGTTAGAGATTTTGATTTTGACGTATGCTTGAGACTCTGGGAGGTTGATTGAAAATTTAGTTGGAGATTTTGAATTTGATGTATGTTGGAGACCATTAAATTTAAGATTAAGGAGGGGTTCTAAGTTCTTGCATGATCATCATGTATTTTGATATTAGACTTGAGATTTGTGTCGTAACTTCGTTTTACTTTTGAGTTTTGGTTTGTAATTGTACTGGCATAATTCTTAATTCGCATTTTGACCACATGCAATTGTTTATGCAGATTGAAGTATATTGTTTGTTGAAAATGTCATGCGTGACAGACCATGACGATATATTTCATATATTGTATAAAATTAGATAAACTTGTAGATGTTATAGACTATTTATGCTAAAACGCTACCTAGTATATGTTATTAACTTTTGCATGCATTATAAATTAAAGTTTAAATGGTTTTATTAAGTCTGTCTCGTTTTACTCATTACCATATACTATTTCATTTAAGCCCCGTTTACTTGCTCGCAATCGTGATCAATGAATCGTAATGAAAAATTTGATTCTCTGTTTAGTAGGAATGTAATCAAATGGTGGGACCTACCTCAAATTTTGTAATCCCATTACATGAAAATGTGTAATCTCATTACATTCCTACAACCTCATTACCACTTTTACCCTTTCTCTCTCATCTATGGATTAGATCCATATAATTTTTAATTAGTTTTTTTATACATTTATAATTTCTTCTCTATTTATACTCCAAATTTTATTAGTTTATGTGATTTTATTATAGAATATTAATATTAATTAATATCAATAAATTTTTTAAATAGATATTATTATTTTGAAATATTAGAATAATAAAACTTAATAATATGTTTTATAAAAGTTTGGTTGTTCTAATAAAAAATATTTTATTTGATGTAATTTTATTTTAATTATTCATTATGTATTAATATTAGATAAATTGTTATAATAAGAAATATTTACAGTGAATAATATTAGTAATAAATTAAATTAAAATTTATTATTATTGTAATTTAAAAATGATTAGCACAATAATATATTTGTAATTAGCTAAAAAGGAGGAAGAGATATATTAGTAATTGTCATATATCTGATTTCGATTCCGATTTTGATTCCAGACAGTTTTAGTAAACAACATCGAAGGAATTATGATTACGATTCTAGAAAATTTATAGGAAACAACATCAATGAAATAATATTATGATTTCGATTGAATTCATTACGATTGCGGTTAGGTAAACGTGGCCTTAGAGATAACTCATCTTTTACTCAATTTCAGGGGATATATGTAGGTAAAGTAGTCGAATCGATAAAAATTAGAGATGAATTTTTTAAAACGTCTCTATATTTATTGATGAAAAAAATAATATCTCAATATAAAAATAAAATAATATACATGGACGGAAAGGTTGAAGAAGGTCTATGGAATAGATTAGCGACGTATTTGTCTTTGCATCGCAATGCTTGCCAAAAGATGATAGCAATGAAATAATAATACAAAAAGTTGCAAACAAATTGTGGCATTATATTTTTGCGTCGCAACTTGCAACGAAGCTTAAAAATGTTAGAAAACTGTATTTGTATGGCGAATGCCAACCAGTAACAACTCAATTCTTTGTCATTTCATCGGTAAAAATTTGGTTACTAAAAATCATAATTCTTCTAGTGTAAATATAAATCACTTCAGGATAATTTTTGAGCCGAATCTCTAATAGCTACCCTTCATGCCTCATGGATTTTTGTTAAATATTGATATTTAAACCGATTGGAGTGTTGAGTAACACTGAATCCTCATTAATTAAAGGAAGAGAAAAAGATAAAGAATGAAAAAGTGAGAAAAAAGATTGTTATAAAGATAAAAGAAGAACTCCCACGATAGTAATAATGGGGGGAAAGGGTATTATTTTAAGAGCAGAAAAACAAGTAGGATGCTAAAAAAGGAAATGTCAGAAGAAGAAGAAGAAGAATCGTGTAGTAGAAGATAGAAGATAAGTCGCAGTCCGAGGCCCATGGCAAGCCAAGCCCATACCTCCACGTGTCACCATACTGCCATAATTAATATCCATAAAGAAGAATCACATCGCACTCGTTAAGTTAGGGCGGTGGTCGAAGTTGGCGAAAAGAAAAGGAAAATGCTCTATCCTTGGAATCTTTTTTCTCAGTCTTGTGTAACTAACTGCTTCGCTTCATCTCTCTCTCTTTTCTCCATTTTGTGCGCTAATATTATCCATTAACAGGTCAACTTGTCACGTGTCATGTTCACCTCTACGCTTATGGATATCTTCTCCATTCCCTCTACGCCTCGTTTCGCTTCTCGAAAAGCTACTCTGTTTCTCCCTCTTTCCTCTGTTTCCCAACCTCCATTTCAATGGATTGAGGAGCACCACTAATTTCTCTCCCCTCGCCCCCAAAAATACCACCACGGTTATGGACAACAATTTGAAAGTCGTCCGTAGGACTAACTGGGTCCTTGTGATGGCGGCTCTTGGATTTTCCGGCTACGCTACTTACAGAGTCTACCACTCCTCTTCCCTCGCCCGAAAGAGAGCCAAGATTTCTAGGTTTCTCGCTGCTCTCTCTTCCGCCGCCGATGCATTCTCCGATTCCGCCGACTGTTTCGCCACCGTCTCCCGAGATCTCAAGGAGTTTCTTCATTCCGATTCCGACCAAATCCCTCGCAGTTTCAGCCGAATCGCCAAACTCGCCCGATCTGACGAGATCTCCGATTCCATCACTCGTGTCTCCCAGGCCGTAACTCTCGGGGTTCTGCGAGGCTACGATCAGTCTCGGCGGCACCGCCCCGGTGGTGACGACGGTTCGAGTAATTTTGCCGATGTAATCATGGCGAAGATGTGCAGTGAGTCTGGATGTGGCTTCGTTTCCACGGTGGTTGGGAGCTTCGCTAGAAATCTGGTGATGGCGTACTTCTCATTGGAGCCGAGTAAATCGAGGAGTTTGGAGGATGGTTTCGCGAAATGGATGGGCGTGGCGTGCGACGAGAAATACAGAGAATTAATCGGCGAGCTAATTCAATTGTTCGTAAGCGCGGCGGTTTCTGTTTATCTGGAGAAGACGAGGGAAATCAACACGTTCGATCAAATCTTCTCCGGACTCGCAAATCCCAAGCACGAAAAGGAAATGAGAGAGTTATTGGTCTCTCTTTCCAAAGGCGCAGTCGCGACTCTGGTTAGAACATCCCACCAGGTCTTGTCCGGCCATGGAAACCGGGCCATCGAAGCAGGCCCAGGCCCAGAGAAAAAGGCCATGGAATTCGAGGACAACGAATTGGGCCTGAAGCCCAGAACTCAGTTTCCGAAGAGGCCCAGAAACGGAGGGTGTACCAGCAAAGTGACGTCGGCAAACAGGAAGGCGATCGTGGATTTGACGGGGAGGATGACGTTTGCGATGATGAGATCGTTTGTGGAGGTGTTGTTGGAGAAAATATATGAAAGGATGAAACGATGTGTCGACATTGTGAATGAGGAAGTCATTGAAAGAGGCCTGGAAATTGTGAGGTACGCAGCTTCCAAAACCTCTGCAATTGCGAGCGTTTGCCTTTCATTGTGCTTTCATGTTCTTGACAATACCTCTTCCTTCTTCCTGGTGTTTTAGTTTTTTCTTTTCCAGAAATGGCCCCACAAGATTTCTTTGTTTTCAAAATATTTTCTTTTCTTTTTGAAATGTTTCCTGGAAAATGTGTCTGGGGATGGTTACCATTTGTTGAAATCTCTGTACATAGTGTCCAAATGTGCAACTTCAATTATTGTTGGATTGGATTGAAGCTTCTTGTTTTTCCCTATAAAATTCTATGTTTGGGATTTATGGTCTTTCGCCACATATGCATAATTACATTAACCTTATCATATACTAATGTTTTGTTTTAGTTGACATCTTCATGATTATTTGTGTTAGATTGCACAATAATGTGTTATATATTTCAATAAGAAATTTGGGAATGGCAAGACTAAAAGTTTGACTTCGATGGGTCATATTGAGCTTCCCCCAAGGAGTTCCGAAATTATTCCGCACCCAGCTATACAATATCGCTAGATAGCTAGCAAAAATGAGTCATCTGAAATGGATTAATTAAAAATTGTTAACAATGTAAGAGATTAAATCGAAAAAAAAAACCCTTAACCAATTGAGGGACTAATCATAAATTTACGCTTAAAATTTCATGATCCAAATTACTTCAAAAGGGAGAAGAAGAATTTTTCACATACAATTAATTATAAGGAGTGACAAAATCAGTTTCCATATATTGTAAAGCCGTGACATGTAACAATAATTTGACAGTATGAAGATTATTTTAATTTCTTTACGTCTAAATAATTCTATTTTTACTCACTATGTCACTACTAAATCATTTTTGTAGTATATTATTTATAGACGTCTATTAAAGATATACTATTGGTATGTTTATCAATAACAAACACTAGTTCTAGTTTACTATTTTTACATCTATCGTTGATAATTGTATATATTGATGATATATTTTGACTTTTAAAATATTTTTTATTTCAATTTGACATTAAAATGATGTAATATCTACAAATCTTTGTATCTCACTGTAGATTTGTTATTACTTGTACTATATTACTATATATGTCATTATCCTTATATCAATGACTAAATAGTTTACAATAGTTAACAACTTAGCAATCAAGGAGTTAATGACATTTTTATAGATCATTTTTCTTTTATAGAAAGTTTTAAATAATATAATAATAAAGTTTAGATAAAGTAGTATAATAATACAAAGTATACATTCTTTTTTTTGTTGTGCATTTCGAAAAGTTGTCCAAGTTCCTATACAATTCAAATTCCAACATTGTTATTCTTGAAGAGTACAATAGTCAGAAATTAACCTTAATTATAATATTAATTTGAACTTAATGCTTCAATATGAGCTTCTCAATATGTACTATGCACGTTACCATCATGAATTACATTTTCCTGGTCAACGTGACGATTATTATCTCCAAAAACCAAAGGGATGATCAATTCCAAAGCCACAAGATTAATGATAAATATTGGCCGCCAAATTTAAAGGGGCAGACCTCCATATTTAATGTTTATTTTGTTGATTAAAATAATATTTTTTATTATGAACCTTCTTACACTTTCAATAACTGTTATTATTATTATTATTATTAGTTTTTACAAAAACTACCATTAATTTGGGTTCTCGTAAAAATGGTTTGTTTTAATTTTTGTATTTTTGAAAAGCAGTCATTTAATCTAATTTTTTTTTATTATAATTTCAATACAACACTAAATTCAATATACTTTTTGAAATCTAATACTAATTTTATACTAACAGATTTTTGTTACAAAACGAAGATTTAAAAAATGTAATTACTAAAAAGAACTAATGCTCAAAGTACAAGGCCAACAAATTGGAATTTTGACTTAACTATTCTAAAAAGTATTATCACAATTTTAATGTTAAAAAAGATAATTTTCAAATTTGAGTATTTAAAAAGAAGGCTAAATATACCGAATTGTTTCTTATCTCTTAGAATTTCCACAACTTTTTGTTCTTATATCTTTATAAAATTTTTAACTTACCCTTAATATATTAGATATTTCCATTTATGTCATTCGGAAGAAAAATGTATTAAAATTTATGGTATCGTTTAACATACTTGAACATGTGGGTATCCACTTATATATCCGTATATATACATTTAAAATTATTATAGTATATATCTACATATTCGCATATATACAAGTTGAGTTATAAGATATATTCACTTATATATCCATATATATACATTTAAAATCACTATAGTATATATCCGCATATATACAAGTTGAGTTATAAGATATATCATAATCAAATCACTATAATATATATCCTCATATATACAATATTTCACACAAAATCAAAAATTGAAAACAATTGGAATGCAAATCTTTGAATCGGGAGATGAACTGCTCTAGCGACTGAGAAAAATGGAGGCGGCTGGAGATGAAGGTAGGCAGACGTCGGCCGGAGACGAAGGCAGGCATAAACGACTTGAGAAGACGAACCGACGGAAATCTCTTTTCGAAGGGGATAAACGTAGACGAATTGCTCTTGCGACAGATAAAAACGGAGCTGACCGAAGAAAAAGGTAGACAGCGACAGACGGTCGGAGGAAGAAAAGAAAAATGGACGGTTGGAGGAAGAAGAAACGGATGAGTTTCGAAAATGGATGGTTTCTTGAGATTTTTTTTATTTTGGAAAGTATCAGCACATTTTAAGTGATTTGACCTCCTAATTTACCAATTTTAGATTTTAATAATTATTTAATATTGAGATTGATCTTTAAAAGGATATACTAGTAATTTGTGTAATAGATACCATCTAATTAGTTTTGTTTCATGACAAAAGTGTAGATTCTATATTTTTCAATCCTAATTATGATTTCTAAATAGACGATAGATGTATTAATCCATTCAAATAAGCTATGTCAGCTTTTGTCCATGAACAAGTTAAGCGTAGAATTTGTGTTAAAATTTTACAAATAAAGACTAAAATGATTACTTTTTAAAAGTTCACGAATGAAAAACGAACATTTTAAAAATATAATTACTAAAAAGAACTAAAGTTCAAAATACAAGGATCAAAATAAATATTTTTAAAATACAGGATTCAAAATAAATAAAAGCTGAAAAGTACAGAAAACAAAATAGTATTTTAACCTATTTTCTTTTGGTATGATTACGATCCTTAATCAAAGAGTAACATATGTGGTTTTAATGTATTTTTCAATACAACATGTGGCATGTAGAATTCGAACTCACGATTTTTTGATATGACATAAGTGCCTTAACCCATTAAACTAAACGAAGTTGTCTATGAAAGATTATTTCAAAATATAATAATAATAAATAAATAAATAGAGATCATACAAATTAACTTGTTTAATTCCGTTGGAAAAGTCAACATTTCAAGAAGTTACGGCTTCTCAGCAAATTGGAATTTTGACTTAATACTATTTTAAAAAGTATCATCAAAATTTTAATGTTAGAAAAGGTAATTTCAAATTTGAGTATTTAAAAAGAAGGCTAAATATCCGAATATTCTCTTATCTCTTAAAATTTCCACAACTTTTTGTTCTTATATCTTTAAAAAATTTTAAATTTATCTTTAATATATTAGATATTTCTGCCAAAATAAATATGGTTTAGCGCTAATTGACATATATCTACAATCAAGAGGTTGTTGAGTTCGATCCCCACTCCCACATGTTGTACTAAACAAAAGAAAAAAAAAAGTAGAACATGTCTACCTGGCCGCACATAAAGTAGGACATGTAGTATCTCAATGCTACGATGTTTTAAGCGCCACAGTACATAAAATTTCACCGCACGTCTCATTTTCATTTTTGTAGCGTCAAGATGCTATGTATGGCGTCTCGACGCTGTCCATTCAATCAAATGATTATGAACATTTTCAAAGTACAAAAATCAAATGATCGAAAGATGAGACCAAAATAGTATTTTAACTTAGATTTAATACAATGATAACATATAAAATATAAATTCATTTTTTTAAAGGTGCATGACAAAACTTTCCACCTCAATGAAAGATAATATATAGTTGTACTTGATCAATAGGTTGACTAATATAAGTCTATAGGTCATACTAAGTTTTAATTATCAAAATAAAATATTTATATAAACAAAACAACAGAAACATAACTTTTCAAAAACTGAAAATCTAAACACAATTTCATTAAGAAAAATGTGTGCATCTCAAAGTCTTTAATTACAGGTTGAAATACCAAAAATGGTTATATATTAAAAAAAACATAGACAAATCGAAGACACTCGAAACTCGAGATATCATATCATTTTATTTTAAAGAAAAAACTACAATATCAACGTGCTGCCAACATATAAAAATGACCAAGTTAAGAAATTGAGTTGACTTGTTTATTGTAAATTAAATGTGGAAGACACCTTTTTCTTGCACTTAGGATGGTGCCTTGGTTAGGTAAGAGGCCAATACATGAACATTATAAGTTAATTGCATACCTGAATCTTCTACATTCTTGAATATTAAAAGGGTTGTTGGATTAATTACACCCCCATTTTCCATAAAGGCAACCCCCTTCCAACTTCCAACAATGATTCTTTTATAAAATAAACACGGGTCGATCAAGTAGTGATTGAATATTATTTTCCAACTATAAATTCCTTAATCTTTATTTTAAATTTAATAATGTAGCGAAACTCAATCCTAACGACTTTCTTTTTTGCATTTGAAAGACGATCCCTTCAAAATAGAGATATTATTATTATTTTATATATTTATATACTTATGATCTTTTATCTAGTTGAGTTGATACTCTAGTCTTATTTCCAATTCAATATTTATTTAATATTTAAGAAAAGATCGAGTAGATATTAATCTAATTGGTTTGTTAAAAACTAGATCCGAATAATATTTTTGAATCATTAAAATTATACCACGTAAAGAGAAGAATTCTTACTGAAGGTGTGTAGGGTGTTTTAGATTTACGAGTATTTTTTTTTTTAAAAAAAATTTGAATTAAATGATCTGCGTTTTTTATTTTAGGGGAAACATTTTGCAGCTTGAAATATCGTTCCTAATGTGG